TGAGCCTGCACGGCGGCCAGGCGGGGCGGGATGGGGTGCGTCGACCACCTCCCCACAGCAGCCGGCCCATACGGCTTGCGAGCCCGGGCTGCGGTGCCGCCACCACGCCCGCACCTGGTCAGCGCCGTGAGGCGGCCGATGGCGGCGGGCACCGTTTCGAGGCCGTTGCCACGCAGGTCAAGCTCCCGCAGCCCCCGCAGCTTGCACAGGGCAGCGAGGAAGGCGGCCAGCTGGGCTCCCTGGTTCACAACCGCCACGCTTGCAACCGCCGGCGCAAAGAGCACGCGCACGGCGGCGCTGCGGCCCTCCAGCTCCCGCAGCTCATCCAGCGTGGTGATGGTCTCGCTGCCAGGTTGCTGCTCCTGCTGCTGCTTCTCCTCCGCCTGCTGCTGCCCCGGCTGCTGCTGCGCCAGCTGCTCTCGCTGCCTGCGACGGCGGTGGCGCAGCACAAACGCGACGGTGAGGGTGCCCGCTGCCGCCGCCGCCGCCGCCGCTGCCACCGCCACCGCCTTCCTGTCCACCTCGCCCAGGCGGGGCAGCTTGGGGAATGCGGGCAGCGATGGCAGCTCCATCAGGCCGTGCAAGGGAGAGTTGCGCCACCGGCGCGTCTGGCAGGGTGCACCTCAGCTGCACTCTGGTTTGAATCTGAAAACCCTTTCGTACGGTATGGTAGGCCAGAAAAGGTGGAAGAAGAACTGCCAACCACCCTTCGAACAACTGGGCTCATTGCCAGCCAACCCCAGACGGCTGCATCGGCTCAGCCGTCTTCTGGTCCGAGAAATGGACGAGGATACAGGCATGCGGGTGCCACGGCCGGCGGAGCTGAGGTTCCGTTCCGTCTCCGGCCAAAGCGGCCGCCGCCGCCTGCCGCGCCGGTGCTGGCGCTCTGCCTCTAGCCCTCCTTGCCGCCAAACGGCTTGCAGCAAATCCAGGGTGGAGTCATTGGCGCGTTTTGAGTGCGCAGACGGACCCACAGTGCCATGCCATCACGGGTTGCATCCAGTTGAGGAAAGGCACCCGGCTCCCGCCGCTGCACCACCTGGGCGTGCCCCACCTCCCACGCTATCGTTTCACACGACCAATCTGAAAGTCAAGGCATTCTGGCATCGCATCTCACGCGGAACTGTGCAGCTGGCTGGGGATGCATAGCGGGGTTCCTGACACACACACAGATCTGGCACGCACATCCTTGCTGAGCGAGCGTGGGGGCGGCAGCCGGCATGCGCCAGCTGGCGACCCCTGGTCCGGCGTCACCCGCCTAGGCAGCCGCGTAGCAGCGGCCGCAGGTCTTGAGGCAGTAGGGGCTGGCGGTGACCTCTGTGGAGTTGCACTGGGATGCGACGCAGCTGGCGCCGCTGGGGGCGGTGTCGAAGCAGCCGTCTGCGCACGCAAGCGCGAAAGTGGAGTGGAGGGATGAGCAACGGCGCAGGCACCACTGCGACGCTGGCAGCAGGCAGCTCGCATGCAGGCAGGCTGGCAGGCTGCTCCGGAGGCACGTCCATAGCTTGCAGGTCCACGCCTGCTGGCGGGCTGGGCCACCCACCCCCGCAGCGGTTACACGACTTGAGGCAGTAGGCGCCCAGGAAGATGAAGTCGGCATCTGCGGCAGCGGCAGGGACATGCGGCAGCAGCGGGATGGTTGGAGTGGGCAGGGCTGCGCCTCAGCGGCGCATGCCTGGCCAGCCCTGCATCCTGGCAGGTGTGCCTGGGCGAGATGATGGCCGCGCAACCGCCGCCCGGCATTCTGTGCAGGCCTCTGCCGCTGCAGCTCACCGCACTTGCCGAAACCGGCCTGCTCGGCGCAGGTGAACTCGGTGTCAGGGGCTATGTCGGTACAGCCGGTGGACCTGTCTGCTGGGAGGGCTTGTGGGGAGGCGGGCGGGCCAGGGAGGTGAGGTGCTTGGCTGTTGGCTGGGGCCCGCAGCAAGCAGGCACTGGGCAGCACGCCAACTGGGGTGCCCTGTTGTGTGCCTGGGGCTGCGACTGCCTGTCGCTGCCCCACGCTGCTGCGGGGTGCCTACGGCCCCTGCCCGCTTGCCTGCGGTGGTGAGGGTCTTGCAGGCGGCGGAGTTGGCGGGGCCGCGTTGGCACACGTCCACCTTATCCCCCACCTGCGAGATGCCCAGCACCTGCGCCGCCCCGCCTGTGGCGCTCTGCTGGGTGGAGGCGGTGGTGGGGGTGGCTTTGGCAACGGCGGTGGCCGTCTGCTCGCCAGAGGCAGAGGAGTAGGCCCTCTGCTGCAGCGCGCGGCCTGCAGGGTGGGTGAAAAGTTGGTGTGGAGATGGGGTACAGTGTTAGTGGGGAGCAGGGCTGAGGGTGAGTCTGCTCGGGCAGCTGTTGGTCGGGCTGCGCGGGTGCCGCACAGCCCTCTGCCGGCCAACCCACCCGCGGGGCGCAGGTGCCTCAGGCTCTCCCGCAGCAGTTGCTGGGCCTCGCCATCCTGGCTGCACACAGGGAGAGACGAGGGCAGAGCTCAGGTTGGCCAGCCCAAGGCTGCTGTGCCCAGGTTCTCACGCGTGGTGTGGCCTGCACGTCCGGCACCGCCCTGCTGCACAGACCGATTGGGAGGTCTCACCGTGCGCAGGAGGATGCAACAAAGAGGGCGCAGACGACCAGCAGCGGCAGGGTGAAAGCCTTCATGGCTATCTGTTTCGTGTCAAGGGCAGGGAGCCGGCCACGCGAGTTAATCACCGAGAGGATGGGGATGCCTGCGCTGCAGGCACCTTCCCACGACTTCCCATGATGGTACACAATTGCAGTACGCCACCAAACCCGAAGGGATGACGATTTCTCCAGGCCTTGCATGCTCTCTGTTGATGTGGGGAGGTGCGTGGGATTCAGGACCGCCTCTGGAGAGCCCACAATGGCCAATAGCTACCGGTACTGCAGGTGAGCGGGCCCCGGGGGCCTGGTGAGCGTTGCATGCGCCTCTGCACACCTGGAGCATGACTGCGAGCGGGCAAACGAACGGCTAAGCTCGCTCCTGAAACTGCCGCGCAGGGTGGCGCCCACCTGCGCGGCCCAGTACGTAGCCAACAAGCTGGCGGGAGCTCCTGTGCACTCTCTGCCAGGTGAGGCGCAGCCCGGGGCTGCAAGGAGGGTGTCTGCCCCACGCCATCGGGTGCCCCCACGGCTGCGTGCCGCCACCGCTTGCCAACAGGTGCTGGCCTCCCTTTCTCCCTTCTCCTGCCTGCAGGCGGGCGTACCATTGTGCCGCTGCTGCATCCCACGCACCACGGCTTGCCCTTTGCCCTCACGCTGGAGCTTCACGCCGCCCAGCCGGCGGCAGCCGCGGTGGCCGCAGCGCCTGCGCCACCCCCTGGCCTCGACCGCAGCGTGTATGCGCTGCACTATGTGCTGGCAGGCAGCGGCCAGCTGCTGAGGTCAGGGGCCTCGGAGCAGCTGCAGGCGGGGGACGCGGTGCTGATGCACTCTGGCGCGGCCGCGTGCTGCGCAGGGGCGGCAGAGGGCAGCGCCGGCGAGGACTCCGCATCGCCCGGCGGCTCCAGCTCGCCGGCAGCAGCTGATGGGTGGCAGCTGGCTGAGCTGGTGGCCTACATGCCGCAGCAGCTCTTCGAGCAGCAGCAGCAGCAGGCTGGCGAGGCGGAGCCGCGCGCCGCCGCCACCCTGCAGCCGCTGATGCAGCAGGCCGGCAGCACGGCGGGGCGCCTGCCGGAGCATGTGGCGCGCCAGCTGCTGGCAGGCGCCAAGGAGACGGCGCGCCAGGCGCTGCGTGGAGACTCGGCAGGCCAGCAGCAGCAGGGGCAGGGGCAGCGGGACGCGCGCAGCAGCGGCGACGAGGACGCGCCGGGCCGCGGCCCGCAGCTGCTGCCCTTCTTCCTGCGCGCCGCGGCCAGTAGCCTGGCTGAGTGGTGGCAGCAGCAGCAGGAGCGCACGTGCCCCGTGACCAAGCGCACGCTGGCGGAGCTCACCGCCTTCCGCATGCCAAACCAGACCAACCGGCTGGCGGTGCAGTTTGACCCCTACACCGCGCCGCGGGTGCCCTTCATCTCTGGAATCGAGGTAAGGAGCGCGGCAGCAACGAGGCAGGCGTCTTGCCACACTGCGTGCGGCATTCCCGCTGCCGTTTGCCCCCTGCTCTGTTTGCTCCTCGTGCCTGCACGCACTGCTGGTGGTTCCCATCCATCCGCCCCTGCTCCCTCCTGCCGCACAGGTGTTTGAGAAGAACCACCGCACCACGCCGCACGTGCACCCACACGCCCACGAGCTCTTCTTCATCCTGGCGGGCGAGGGCACCGGCTTCTGCGGCAGCGAGCGCTTCCCAGGTGGGCGCAGGCCGGCGGCGTGCCCGCCCGCAGCTCGCACATTGCACCACCCGGGTGGGCGGGGTGGGCTTGGGGTGGCCGCTGGCACCGCCGCCAGCCCTGCGCCGCCGCCTCCCAACCCGTGCCCCGTCCCCTGCCCGCCCCCCGCCCGCAGTCTCGGCCGGCGACGTTGTTGTGTTCCGGCCTGGGGCGGTACACGGCATAGACGTGGGCGCAGCGGGACGCATGTACTGCCTGGAGCTCATGGTGCCTAACGAGAGCTTTGCCGAGTTTGTGCGCATGGGCACCGCCGGCTCGCTGGCGGAAGAGGACATGTGTGTCCTGGCCTCCGTCGGCTGCCGCTGACGCCCCCCGCCGTGCTTGCTTCGGCAGCCCTGCCGCGGCCGCAGCCAGCATGTTGCCATGCCACAGCCAGGACCTGCCTGTCTGCCTCCCTCCCTGCCTGCTCGTGACCTTTTGCGTAACGTTGTAAACACCAACACAGGTGTGGCCTCGTGGCTCGGAGGATGCGGCGGGCATGGGTTGAAACAGGGATGAGCGTGGGGGAAAGGAGCGGCCAGGTGGCGACAGGTATCGGGGGAAAGCAAAGAAACAAGGAGCGTGTGCGTGCGCATCCACACACTCTTTCTCACACACACACGCGCATGGAGTCTTCGTGCACAGGGGAGGCTCCCTCGCAGCAGCGCCCCCTCACAGCAGCGCCACGATGTGGAGCAGCAGGAAGTAGAGGGCGAGCGCGGCGCGCAGCTGGGGCCGCGAGTCCACCGCGATGGCCGCCCTGTCCAGCTGCAGCGCCGCCCTGACCAGCGCCGGCTGGACGCGCGGGTTGCTGCAGGGGGCGGGGCCAAGGGCACGGGCCAGACGACGGGCAACGGCCAGAGACGCAGTCAGCAGGTCGACAACGGGGAGGGCACGGCCGGCGTGTGCGCGCTTGCCGGCAGACAGCCGCCCTTGTCGGAAAGCCAGGGCATGCCAGGGCAAATGGCTGCCCCTCCCCCGTCTCCCTCTCCACACACACACACACACACACCTCAGCGGCGGCGGCAGCGAGCGAACGAGGCCGGCCAGCGGCTTGAACAGGGTGCCGCCGCCCGTGAGCGCCGCCGCCTCCAGGTCGAAGTCGTCCTCGTTCTTCTTGGAGGCGCCGCCGGGGCCAGACTGCGGCGGCGGCAGGGGCGGGGGGGGGGGGGGGGGGGCT